CAAGCAAACAAGCAAGCAAACAAGCAAGCAAACAAGCAAGCAAACAAACACTGCTTACCTTCAGAAAGCCTCAGGTAGGCCAGAATCTCCAAAAAGATACCCACCCTTCCAGTGCCAACCCTTAAATGAGGTCTGGGAAGGGGTGGATCCTGGCTGCATCCCTTCCTGTCACTCAGCTGCATTACTTGCACCTGAGCTCCCCTGGTCTGGGCCCGCCTACCCGCCAGGTGCTCAATCACCGGTTCCAGGCTTGACTTAGTGTTTCCATACAGCCTGATAGTGACAGGACAAAGCAGAATAGCTTTAAACGACAAGAGGGAAGATACCAGGAGGCAGGAATTTTTTACTCAGGGTGTTCAAGAGAACTCGTGACGGCCCAGTCTCTGCAGGTGTTCGAGGCCGGGTTGAATGGGGCTCCAGGCAGCCCGATGGTGTGGGTGGCAGCCCTGCCTGGGGCAGAGGTGTTTGAACTGGATGATCTTTTAGGTCCTTTATCACCTGAGCCACCCTATGACAGAAATGGATCAACCGAGGCTGAGCCCTTTTTTTTTTTTTTTTTTTTTTTTTTTTCCCTTCGCAGCATATGATTGCATACAGATGCAACATTGTAAGCCATTCGTAAGCGAAGAGCAGAGCACCGCTTTGGTTTTCGATCGGGTTTGCTTTTCATAACATTTTTTCAGCTTTGAAAAAGCATTCCTTGTACAAGCACTGCGTCTTTATGTACGGCAATTTTCAACTCCCCAGCAGTGCAAAGGGTTCCAGTTAGTGATCACATTGCGAAATTCATGTACATTTCATAACTTTTTCTAACTACTGTTCTAACAAACAAGTAATAAAACACAGACCACAAACTTGCCTCAAAGCACAACGACACAGGCGGTTCTCAGGCAGAACCTAAGAGCGAACCGGTTTCGACCACGACTGGAACGAAGCTGAAAGCTACGTTCGATGGCTCTATTTCTTTCCAGTGAAGCGGCTGAGTGTCTGTGCTGATGCCATGATGAGTTAACTGTGGCTAACAATGCGCCTCCGCCTGGCCTGGCTCGGGGCCCCTCTTCATTCGGAACTGAAGCTAGACATCTCTGGGCAACAAAAGAATGAGGAGATCACTTATCAGTTCTGTTGTGAGACAAACAGATTTGGCTTGGGATAACTAATTGACTGCCAATTAAAAGAAATAATTACTGATTTGCGTAGTAGGGAATAATAATAATGATAAAAACATAATATGCTCTGGGAAACCGCTTTTCTTCTTCTTTCCTGAGATTCACTGCTTGTTAAGGACCTCGCTATTACTGCCGTGGGTTATACTCAGATCCTTCTGTGATGGAGTAGACAGTGAAGGATTACGTTGTGTTTTCTCTCCGCCGTTCCTTCCCTCTCGTTCTTTTCCTCTGCTGCAGTGTGGGCACCCTAGGCTGGAGTCCCTGTGAGGCGTACCTGCTTCAGCGGGGGTTCGTCCACGTGGGCAGCGGTCCCGTTGCTGAAATAACTCCTCTTCCATCAGTTATGCGTGCGTGCGTGGGTTGCCTGCTCCGCCGCGGGACGCCTCCTTCTCCGACCTTCACGTTGCCCCTGCTCCTTTTCACTCGCTTTGTATCCCTGTCAAGTTCTTTCTATCTTTTCTTACATTCCTTTTCACCAGCAGCTCCGCTGCCAAAATCA